CAGAAAACAAAACTTTAAAAACTAAACTAAAAGCTCAAATACATTTAAATTGTATTTATTTTAAAACATTTAAAAATCTATTTAAAATATTGATCAAGCTGTTAAAAATATATAACTCGTCTCAAATTTACATAATTTTCTTCAAATTCTAAATCAATTTTTGAACAATTAAATCTTGCACATGCCAAATCATGTTACCTGTCTCCTTTGGTACAAAATCTAAGAGTTGATTCAATACAGATAGTTCTCAACTTATAGCCATTCATATAGTGAGCATTCAAAATTACAGTGGCACTGAAAAAAATGACTTTTGACTATTTTTCATATTTATGACTATTGCAGCATCCCCATGGTCACAAAATCCAAATTTAGGCGCTTGGCAGCTGGCATAAGGCATCAGGCTAGAAAGCAAGAGATTGCACGTTCAAGCCCCACCTTAGTCAACTTTCAGCCCAACTGACCTCACAGTGTTGTTGTTGTGGGAAAAATAGAAGGAAGGTGTATTGGATATTTTTACCATGTTGAGTTAATTGTAAAAATAGAAAAGGCGTGATAGAAACAAACAAATAACAGCTGGACTGTTCAAGGGTTATGTATTCACCAATTTGTAACTTTCCCCGCCAGCTTTTTACAAGCAAAGTCAATGGGGGAAGCCAATCTCATTTAATGCTCGCATGATTCTCTTAACTGAAGTGATTCATCTAACAATTGTGAAAAAAAAAGGTCATAATGGAGTAAATTTCACTTAACTGCATTGCTTAGCAATGGAAATTTTGAGCTCAATTGTGGTCATAAATCAAGGACTATCTATACTTAATTGCATTTTTCATAACTGCCCAAGCTTGATATATCCAAATTTCTCCATAGAATGAAATATTCCAAATGTTTTAGAATATAGTTTAACAAAAGATTAAATTTTTCTGCCTTCCAAATTTACTACAATATTTAACCAATAAGTAATTACAAATGGAAACATATTTGTATGGATTTAACTTTTACTGTATGCTGTCTGAAAACTCACTAGTATTGAATGTTGAACAATATTGTAAACAAAATATCACCTCTTTTACACCATACTATATCATAGCAACCCAAAACTTTCAATTTTTACAAATGACTATTTTCAATTATTTTGTCCAACATCTGATAACCAAAAGAGAAATTATACTACCTGTTTCCTGGAAAATAAGACCCAACCAGAAAATAAGCTGTAGCTTATTTTCAGGATACTTGTAATATAAGCCCCCCCCCCCCAAATAAGCCCCAGTTATGATCATCAGCTAGATGGATGCATTTAGCAGTGCTGTCAACTCGCAAAGCTTCCCTAACCTGCTCCCGAGTTGCCATAGGCAGGGGGATGGGGAACTGAGCTTCACAGCTGCATCAAGGAATTTAAACCTCAGTCAAAATGCACATCCTAGCCAGCCAAAGTCAAGGTCATCTCTACAGAAACCAGTAACAGCCTGAGGGAGTGACTCCTACGACCTGTGAAATTACTTTGTTGGGGAATGTGACTGATGACACACCTTGGGGGGAGGGAGAAACAGGGTAAGAGGCAAGGCACGAACTGAGTGGGGTCAGAGCTGGCTTCACTTGGACTGTGCTGACATGACATTCCTTATAAACAACTGGATTTTTCTTGAAACTTTGCTTGAGGCTCCTGTTTTTATTAGGGCATCAGTTGGAATCCTGACAACTGCAATTCTCCAAAAAAAGACCTAACCGGAAAATAAACCTCAATGTGTCTTTTGGAGCAAAAATTAATAAAAGATTTGATCTTATTTTCAGGGAAACACAGGTATTGACAGAGGAAACATAAAAGGAGACTGATTTTTTTACACAGCTGTTCAAAACGGCTATCCAATTTACAATTGAATTTACTGAGAAAACATTAGTAAGATACCTGATAAGGACCTATAGAATTCCTAGAAGACACTAAAGAGTTGATAAAAAGCAATTATTCCATCATATGATTCTTCATTTCATACGTAGAAGCAACATTACTATATATGTTGTTTCTTTAAATTCAGGCATAATCGTGCAAAAAATTGATTTTCAACCAACTATATTACTATAAAAACAAATACTCTTGTGATCGAGACGGTACATTGCAACACAAGAAATACAAGAATGCTACTATTCACTTTATAATTTACTTTTGGTATTGCTTATGAAAGAAAGAGCCTCAAGCATTTTTCAGCTTAAAGGTAATTACATAATTTTACGGCCTTATTAATTCCTGGCACAGATCCTAGGAATTCATCTAAAAAGTCTTATTAGAGTATATAGAATTACCACTTCTCTAAACAGAATTACTAGCAAAACTCCTTCTGAATATGTTCTTCTGGTAAAGATTACATGCAGATCTTTTAGCAGCATGATTTATTTTTTCCCATCTGAAATTTTTGCACTTTTTTTTAGCATTTGGAACAGTAATTTAGGATTTCATTAGTAGTCAGGCTGAAAGGTATTATATTGTGACGTCAACAAAATCAGGTAAAATCTGGTTAATGTATGTAGATTTTTAAAGAGAACTCATTGATATTACTGCCTTGAATTGCTTATAAAGTAATAAAAGGACGATAAAAGCAAATAAGTAAATAAATGTAACTTAATAAATACAACTCCAGCCCAATTCCCGTCTGGAAATTTACGAGGAAAAAAAATACAACGGACAGGTTTATGCAATATTTTTCCTGAATACTGGTCAAGACATTTTAATTCAGGTCAATCGAAGGTTCTATTTCAATAGAGTAAAAACAGACATAAACATATGTCAGTTATATGTTTTTGCTTGAAACAGAATTCATTTTCCTTTTAGAGTGGTCAAGAAGCATGTGCTAGTCATTTCCGGCTCTAGTTAATTAGCTGAAAGCTAATACAAAAATGAAATTTGTGAAGTAGAATACATTCTAATATTGTGATCCACTCTTTTGGGAAAGACAGTTTCATTGCAAACATTTTCATGTATAACACTGATTTTACCATTTAAAACATTGTCCAACAATTACAACTGAAATTTGAATTCAGGAAAATAAAGCAAAGACAATTTTTCAAAGACTCTAATACATGTTTCCAGTATTTGTTTTTATTGAAATTTACCAAAAAGTTATTTGTTCTTGGAGTATATTGTGTGTTGTTGAAAAAGCCATTTCCCCTCCCCTTTCAATGCAAACTTATTCTGAGAAATTAAAGTTAATTCTTATGTTCATATCTGTATGTACAAGACCACCAACTCTTCCCAAAATGCTGAATATATAGGGCAAGGACTTAATATCATTCATTATAACTAGAACCAAGCCACAAAGATACATTTACATGTATTACAAATGTCACAAATATCTAAGAAAATGAATAATGTAACATAAAATATGGTTGTAACCATTCACTCCATTTATAAAGGTGACAACTTAAACTGCTCAGTTTTGTCATTAATACAATAAATAACAAAATTAGAGGAGAAATATAAATGAAAGCTATAACAATTACTTCTTTGGACACAGAAAGAGAAGGCCACCCCACTTTAAGGCTGCAGATATGAATTTTTCATCAAGTTAAATTTATAAAGGATATCCATTCAGGAAAGTGATGCAATTACATATTGTATGTCTTTGCATTTCAATACTTGCAATCTTTTAGACAAATATGACTCAGTGTACACTAAGGAACTAAGAGAACTTTAGTGCTACAAAACCTAAGTGCTGGAAACATTCATACACATAGTACTGGTTTACTAAGGACAGAGTTAGCTCATTGTTCTTTTTTCTTTTTATGTATCTATGCTGTGAAGAACACTGACATATTCTAAAATGTGTCAGCTTAAACAATCACATATGTGATAGAAAGTCAAATGCAGTTCAAGTAGAATACATACAAGATATTTAAACAGAGAAGCACAGATATTAATGTTCATTTGCTAATGCCTCAAATGTAGATATGAACTTGAGGAAAATATTAAGCAACGATTCATATAGTTATACTGTCTTTTTATGAAGTGATAAAAACTAGTTCAATATTATAAGGCAAGTGACATTTGTGAAGCCTTGAGTCTGACATTAAATTAAAAACATTCAAATTGTAATTGCTAAGAAAACTTTTAAAATTTACCTGCCATTTCCAAATATACCATTATTTGGCATATAGTTCAGAGATCAGTCATGCAACATTAGGAAGAGATCTGGCATGTAAGCAAGTTTACACACCAATAATAAATTTGAAAGAAGTTGATGTTGCACTGCCAATGGGATTAAGTATATAGCATGCAGACTTTTCTCTGCCACTATTTCTATTTACAATTGTTATTACATGGTTTTCTTCAAGTCACCGTGGCAACCAAACAATACAGGTACATTTTTTTGCTTTGTAATACACAACCAGAAGACCAAACTTTAATTCAGACTATAAACATATGACTGCACAAATTTACTAAGTCACTACCATTTTTCCAAGTACAATAGTAAACCCAAGATGAGCAGAAATAGATTTGGTATGAGTCTGATTGAAAGTCAAGATTCACAAAAGTAAATTTCAGGTTCATAACATAAGTCAAAGAGTGGTGGGGTTAGGGGTTTTTTTTTTGCACTTTTCCATTTAGTTATCTAAACTTCTAATAATTTATTGCCCTTTGAACTGTGCAAAATATATTAGCTTTTGATGCAAAATGGTCTTTAATTTCTAATACTTCTGGATAGGCTTAGGATATTTATGGCTTAAACTTGGACTTTTAACATCATTATTACAGGCATGTGTTTCAACAGATATATCACTACCCAAAATAAGATAACTAGATATGATTTCAAGACATCTACTGAGTGTTAAAAATACATTCCTTTCCTTTCCTAGAGGAAAGACACAACAGCTACTTCGTAGGTATAAAAGTTAACAGCCCTATTCAAGGTCAGTTTTATAACCACATTATCAACCAAAGTTGTCTAAAGCAACTTAGATACCTACCTACATTGGAATTTACATGTGATAATACAATATTTTTGCCCTGAAGGACATTGCTCTAATGCATATGAAGATTTACTTCTACCAAATAATCCCAAATTGTAATAGACTACTTAGTGCAAAGTTGGTTTTTGTTCTCCTGGTAGTTTAAATCAGATAAGTAACATTTTGACCATTGTCCAAGGTTTTTGCAAATTATATTTGCTCCAGTTATAATTCCAATGACCTGATAATAATAAAGTGTTTTACTCTGATGCACTCAATGCTGGTCATTTTTTCATTTTGTTCTGTGAAGTTTAGTCAATTCAGAATTCTTCATTTTGGCATGCACCAACAACATGGGAATTGAATTGTACTACTATAATTGTGATATCATCCCTGTACATCCGAGCCAACTCTTCTGGAAGACTGAGCATTTTGGAGAGCCGTTCATGATCCACAGTGCCAAATTCATTATTTCCGACAGCATGGCGTATCAAATGAGTAGCAGCATTCTGATCTTCAAAGGCTGAAGAGACACGGGCTCTCCTTTCAGTAAGAAGCCCATGCATCTGTCCCAATGTTACCTTGTAACCACCAACAGCTATTGGCTCCTGATGATGAACACCTGTAAGATACTCACCTACAATTCTAACTACATCCTGCCTGTGCATTGTTTCCCACAAACCATCTGTTGCCAGTATCAGGAATTTGTCCTGAGGCCTCAATTTGTGGTGTATCACTTCAGGCTCAGCTGTGAGATATGGAGGAGTATGATAGTTCGGTGGAATGAACTTTGTATATTCATTATCATTCAGTTGATCGGGGCCAGATTCTACTACTCTCTTCTGAAGGTCAATGCTCCACTTAAATTTGACATCACCAAAAGCTCGGAAAGGCATAAGTAAACCCAATAGCCGATCTTGTTTTACAACACTCTTTTCTTCGGACTTTGGATGTTCCATCTTAAGTCGTTCAATTTCACTTTCATTGTGTGAATTATGATCATGAGATAAAGCAACAGCAGTCCAAGAGCCATCCTCTTCTTGGACACCAAGCATTGCTCTACTATCACCAGTATTGGCAACATGCAAATCAACACCATCTACATGAGCCACACAAGCAGTTGCACCAGAAAAAGCTACACGCAATACTAAATAGTTAAGAAAAGAATTTGGATCTCCAACTTGTGCTTCCAAAGAAATGTCATTGTCAAGCCTCTTAAATGCATTAATTAAAGCTTCTTTGACATCTGTTGTTTCTCCAGTGTTAAGATCTATGAGTTCTTGCCAGTAAGTTCGCAAGCTGTTGAAGTATAATTTGGAGGCTTCTTTACTGAAATAGTCATTAGGGTGTTTGTGCCACTGTAAGATGGGCAACAGGGCCCTACCGCTTTCAACAGCATTTTCTATTTCAAGTAAAGTTTCATGGGGCAACAAAGAAACAGCTATATAATAAAACAATCGCTCACTGACAGCCTGGGCACATGCACATCCTGCGTGCCCATCGAATACACCCAGAAGCATGCCTCTTGTCTGCAAACAAGTCGCTGCACTTCTTCGATCCTCTATGGGAGCATTGGCTGGCAGCTGGTTGCTGTCAAAGCCAAGAACAGAACTTACATTTTTGCCATCAAACTCTGGCACTTTGAAACTATATTCATTTGCCTTGAGGATGCTGTTGACTTGTGGAGGCGTGAGGTAAAATCGCTGTGGTGTAGAGACATAGTTTCTTGCATGAAGAAACTGATTGAAGTTTTCCTTTGGTCTGCAAAGCGTCGCAAGCTTCTTCTGAGGAACATACTTCAAGTGCTTGTGAGTTACGGGAGGGGACAAGCAACATAGATGCTTGTGGTGACAGTAACATGCAGTGCTGTATATCCTGCCAATCTCACAGTTGCGAATTAATGGGAGTAGTAGCTGAGCTGGTGCTGGCATGGCATCAGAGAACAATGGCAACCTGGAGCTCTTGACTGGAATTGCTGGAAGAAAACAAAAGACAACGTAAACTTAGGATGGGCTTTCATGAAAGAAGTATATATGCACCATATCATGCACCTATATACTCACTTTTACTTAAATACCTCTTTAATGTGTACAGCTTTACAGATTCAACATATTTGCAGGAAGCAGGAATATTTTAAAGTATCAATCTAAGATTAAATAACTCAATTCACCCTATTACACTAGTAGAGAATTACAAATATCATTATTTAATTTAATCAAAACTTCAAGTTGGGAGAACAAAAGTAATCTCAAAAGTTGAAGGACCAAAACAACCACAATTGAAATCTTGTCCTTGAAAAGACTCTCAGTATGCATGTAATAAGGATTTGGATTGCCATATGAGGAAAATTGTCACATCTGTTATTTGTATTAATCATTGTAATGTTTTCTCCTATATGATTTCCCTCCAATTTCACAAACTTAATAACAGAACAGAATAACAGTTAGAAGGGACTTGGAGGTCTTCTAGTCTATACCGGAAACTCTATAACATTTCAGACAAATGGTTGCCCAATCTACTCTTTAAAAATCTCCAATGTTGGAGCACCCAAAACATCTAATTATTTGTTCTGTCAGGAAATTTCTCCTTAGTTCTAGGTTGGTTCCCTCCTTGATTAGTTTCCACCCATTGCTTCTTGTCCTGCCTTCAGGTGCTTTGGAGAATAGGCTGATCCCCTCTTCTTTCTTGCAGTTCCTTAGATATTGGAACACTATTATCATATCACCCCTAGTCCTTCTTTTCATTAAACTAGACACACCCAATTTCTGCAACTGTTCTTCATATGTTTTAATCTCCAGTCCCCTAACCACCTTTGCTACTCTTCTCTGCACTCCTTCTAGACTTTAGAGTCTCAACTTATATCATGGTGACCAAAACTTGAAGGACCAGGCATATATCAACTCTGTATTACCCACCAGTAACTTTGGCTCTGTTCACCATTTACAAATGAACAAGGGTATTTATTGTGTGTAACAACAATCATGTACAGTAGACTAGAGTTTGGAACTACAAAGCTTCCGATAGATTGTTTTAAACGATTAGTCATTTAATGGTCTTCGGACAAATCACAAAAATAATCAATCTCCGTTTTGTAGATAGTGGTTTTCAGCAACTATCTACTGTTATACAGTTTGTGGTCTATGACAGTTAGCAACTTCAGAATTAATATGTAATATATTATTGTATGCTAGAACTAACATCTAACCTAGAGATTCCCAAACTTTCTTGCTTCATAGTGCTCTTAGTGTAATTTTCTCACTGTACTATCAGTTCCCACACATGCTTTATAGCAGGGGTCTCCAACCTTAGCAACTAAGATTTGTAGACTTCAATTCCCAGAATCCCTCAGCTAGCCTTGCTGTCCACAAGTCTTAAAGTTGCTAAGGTTGAAGACCCTTGCTCTATAGCACCTCAAAGACATTGGACAGTTCAGTTTATTAAGTAGTAAAGTATCCTATAGTGCCTGTGAAATTACTGTAATAACCTAGGTGTCAATTTGAGAGCCACAGATCTAATCCACACTTTCCAACTGACAGCTTTTCAAGAGGAGCTCTTCTAAGTAGTAAAACAATTTTCTTACTCTAAAATCTTTTGTGTTCCATAGATCTACAGAAATATTTTAGCTATTTCACAAGGTTTGGTAGGGTATTACTATTAAATTTGTGTTTTTCAGTCATATAGAATTTCAAAAAAATAGTTAAATTGTCTTAATCTGAGCAGTCTGTATTAATTTCTTCTGTATTCCTATATTTTGGTTGCACATTGTTTGCTCAGTGTTTTGTTCACCTGTCAGTCTTTCTCAAATGTCAGATACTTTTTGCTACCTTAGCCCTTAATAACCATTAAAGGAATACACAAGATGGATCCATTGTTCTCAATTTATTTTGTTTCCCTTACAATCATACCCTTTTGTGGGACTTTTACAGTGCCATTAGTAATATGCTACTGTGGAGAGTCTTTTGGGAGTGAAGCAGATTATCTCAATGTATAATTTAAATATGTATATGATTTCAAATTCTGGAAATGTCTACTTTTATTCCATCTTTCATTTATTAAGTCAGACTGCTCTAGTAATGGCCAACAAGGGACCAGGTTCAGTTCTTCTATTTCCCCAGTTTTACTGCCAGAGCTGTGGTGGTGCAGTGGCTGGAATGCAGTATTACAGGCTAGCTCTGCCACTGGCTCAAGGTTGACTGAGCCTTCCAAGGTCGGTAAGAGGATCCAGATTGTTGACTCTGTAAACCACTTAGAGGGGGCTGTGAAGTAGTATATAAGTCAAAATGCTATTGCTATTTATTTATTTACTGTCAGCTCTCCAGACCTTATCAATTTTAAGCTGTTGATGACTTGTGACTATCAATAAAACAATTTGAAAGCCTGATATATGTAGTTATTTGCCATGGTTACCTTGACCAATATTTCACTTCCCAGGTAAGATTCAGCATTGTATCAGATAGAAGATCATACCAGGAGTGTGGTACAAGGTGGAAAACAGGGGTGGGGGGGGGGAGAGGAAGGGGAGGGAAGGAAATATGTCAGTGACATGCTCAATTTATGCCAGTAACTGAAGCAAGCTAAATTAATCCTGGCTGAGGGCATTCAAAAAACCACAAATGAAGAATTTAACTTTATATTATATTCTAGATACTTGGGATGCCTGTCAGCAGTACATTTGTACAAATGAGTACATTCATTCAACCCAATTCAACACACGCATAATGGTTGGATACACACATCCTAAGGATATTTTAAAAACCATAATCAGTTGAATAAACCGTAATGGCTAGATCCACATATGTAAAATCATAAAGCATATTTCACAAAGCACCATACTGAGTTCATGCATTTAAGCCCAAATTAAACAAGTTACATTGTTCAATATATTGTGAAATCTGATTTACTGTATAGTGAAGCTGATTTTGTGACACTGAAATCCAAGGTAAGTTTATTTGTAAGAGTATACATTAAGAAAATACCAATTTAAACTTAAAGAAGCATTTACAAAGATAATACTTACAGCACCTTTTTCAAACTTGGCATTCTCCAGAAATGTTAAGATTACAATTCCTAGAGTTCGCAGCCAACAATTCCAGAAGTGATCTACAGTAATGCTTATTTAATACACTCCCTCATTAACCCATCACCCACCCTCCAAATTTTATTACTCAGATAATAGGAGCACAAAAAATACCTACCAATTCTCCTGGGCCCAGGACACACACACATTCTCCTGTCACAACAAGAAGCCGCCAACATCCACAAAGCAGAAGCCCAGGAATAGCAAGGAACAGGAGAGATTATTAAAGGAGGAAGAAGAAGTCTCCAACATTGAAGGGGGACAGGAAAAAGAAAGACAGAAATACAAGCAGTTTGTAGTGACAAACATTAAGAAGCAACTTGCAGCATAGCCATTTCTTAACCAGCACTATTCTAAGCTTTCTACAGCCGAACATAGAACATATCTCAATCACACTTGCTATGCAACGTAACATCAAGTTCACACAAGACTCATCTGCTGTCAGCCAGCTCTGAAGAGCAACAGGCATATACATTGTTTTGAAATGAGGCTGAAAGAATATTTCAATCTGCTAAGCACCAGCTTCAATTATTTGAAGCAGGGTATACAGCTGCTCTGAACAGAGCAATGTAGTGTTTTCACTGTAGTATTTTCTACAAACCAAGATGCTCAGGATTTTTCCAGCTTCACTGATCTAGAGTGAAGAGATTAGTACTAACAGAGATTAGTAAACAGACATACAGGACATATTCTGACCAGATTGACATTTAAATCGAAACCAAATGTCCATATCAAACAAGTATGAGCAGTATTTAAAATAACAAGTATGCCTCAATCTTTCTGAATAGATATGAACATCACAGAAAGAAGGATGCTTCTTAAGTGAGGAACAGTTTATCACTACTGCTTCAAAAATTTGGTGCTTTCAAAAGTGCCTTCTTACATATCCCAGATTTCCTTATTTGAAAATTGGGGTCATAAAGCCAGTTACAAGGCATTTCCTATTCTCCAAGTTCCACAAAATCCTTGCAAATTCATGAAATAGAAGGTGGTCAATCACAAACTTGGCAAGAGCACACCAACTGTTTAGCCGCAAAAGTAGTTTGTTTCTAGGATGAGGGCATTCTAACAAGGGATTAACTATATCTATCACAGGATTCTATCAATCCTGTTGATTATTCTCCATATTGCAGCTAATGGTTTAAAGAAAAAGGGGGCAGCACAATAAGTTCTTCTGGATACAAGGCAGGAGAAAATACACTGATTAGTTTATGCAATGATCTGCTAATCAGATTAAAAGAGGTGTGCAGAGGGAGAAGGGTACCATTTTAAAAATATCATAGAAACCTCAAATAAAGTGCTATCTTCATTTTGTTCTTTTGCATTCAAGAAAAATTAAAAAGCAACATATGCCTCCTAACATCAATATTATTAATCACCTACATGTATACAGCACAGCACCAGCAGATGGAAATAGCTGGCTGCCTATATTTGAGTTTGAAAGCTTAGAAAAGAATTGAGTGGGATTAGTACTGGGAGAAGTGAGCTGTAGATAATAAGACAGGCTATGAAGAGATATATAATGTATATATATATATATATATGTGCTGCCTAGATTATTGAAAGAAAACTACCGGTACATTAAAATACAATAAAAGAAAAGTACATTGAGTAGTTTTCTCAACTTGGAGACTTTTCAATATATGCAGTATATATGTGTGTGTGTGTGTATGTATGTATAAATACAAGTACATATAAGTACACATATATGCATACACACACACACAGACAGGAACTCTTAATGGAGCCACTGCTCATAAGTAACACTTAAATATGGTCCATTTTGCTCAACCGGCCTGCAGACAGGTTGGAGCTCTCTCCTATTCTTTACTAAGGAAATCATCTGGATGTGTCCATGAAACCACCAGGACCCAAGCTTGATCCAAAGGTTATTTCCTCCCACTACCCAGAGATGCAGCATTGTGAACCAAGGCTTTCTGGAGGCAAAAACACTGGTGGATCCCGAAATGTCACCTTCAAGTCGGACAGAGGATGCCTGTTTTGCATGCCCAGCTACACACAACAGGGGCTTCTCTTTCAGGGGCTGCCTTGGAGACGCGTGTACTCGGGTCTGTTGCTGAAACTACGCCCGCGTCCTCTTCCTACGAGGGATCCCCGGTCTGCCCCTGGGCCTTTCCGCCTGTACCCAATATGGGAGAGGAGCTAGCTGCAGGGCAGCAACACTAACTTCCTCCGCCCAGTCTGCGCGCCCTCCTCCGTCTCAGGCCGGGGAAAAACGGAGCCGAGAGATGGCAGCGGCCGCTACCCAGGACCACCCGCGGGTGCTCCAGCCCCCGAGCCGGCTCTAAAGCCAGAGATACTGACCTGGCCCGAGATGGGGATGAGGGAAGGTGACAGTACCCGGCGGCGAGGGCAGCGGGATAAGGGGAGAGCGAGCGAGCGGGAGCGGCCACCGTCCCGCCCTTCCGCGGCCGCCGTAAACGGGGCGACTCGGCCTCTCCCCCTCCCACCCAGAAGCCCGAGTGGCCAGTGGCGGGCGCGCGCCTGCCTGGGCTTCTCGCTGCAGCCGCGCAGCGGGCGGAAAAAAAAGAAAAAGCGAGTCGGATTTCAAGGATCTTGGCCGGCTTTTGTGACGCTACCCGATTATATAGCCTTCGCTCGGCCGTCTTCACGCTCATTGGCTAAAGGTAGGAATGGGCGGGGAGAGGGTAGGTCACGTGACTCCCACGCTCGCTTAGCTCATGCTCACCGCTTTTTTTTCTCCCTTTTTTTTAAATTGTCGGGGCTTGGCGGAGGGATCTCAAAGTTCAGGTTTCGCCTTTGCTGCTAGTGCCTTTCGAAAGAAGAATGCGCCTTATAGAAATTGCCGCTCGGGACTTCTTTTCTTCTCCTTTTATGAGCGTTTCTTCCAATCTGAAAAAGGCGGGAGCCGGCAAAAAAAAAAGAGAGAGAGGGCGGGTTCGGCCGACGCTCTGTTTGGCTCGGATCTCCCAGAAGATCCTCCTTCTTATACCTTTGCGGCCTATCAGAACGCTTTGCTGAGAAGAGGCGTGATCCGTGCTTCTGGGGTGGGGTGGGGTGGGGGTGCAGGTGAAAGCCGTATTCTATTGAAAAGAAGGTGGGAGCAATTTTAAGAGTGGGAACGCTCTTCACAATACTCGCTCTTTGCTAAAGTAACTAAGTTCACACGATGACAAGAATAGCTATCCTTTGCTTTGGATAAGAATCTCAGTGGGCACAGTCACCGTATGTGTTTGCACAGGGCTTGCATAATTAACCCCATGTTCTGGGTTTGCACAAGAGACTGGAAAACGAACAAACTGCAGGGCAGGTTGTAAAACTTAGTTGACTGGTTTATGGTTTGGGTAAGGGGGTCTTAACGTAAACCCTAATATTTCGATGTAGCCTTTGCAAGTATGAACGGACACAAGTCATCTACTTTACAAAGACTTTCCTTGCATATTGTGGGGAAAGGATGTGGGGGGGGGGGAAGTGGGATGAACGGAGAAGCTGCGGTAGAACAAACTAGCAAATGCATTGACTTGAATCTAACAGCGTTTCTGCAGTTCGGATTCACGTTATACATTCAGAATTTGAGAGAAGATAGGGCTTGCTGGAGAAGCAGCAGCAGCTGCATTCAAAAATAATGCTCATCTCACTTTTGTTCTGTTATATGGTGGCCATATTTTCTTGGAAAAAATGAAGGACAATCCTGAAAAAGGCAAATCTGAGAAGGTTCATAAAATAAAACATTTTAACAGTTTCTTTTGTAAAGACTGTCAGAAGTTGTCTGAAGGTTGAATCATTGCAACTGGACTAGTTTTTTCGTTGTCAGTTTGAGAGCTGCAGAGTCGCATAACTAGCTCAAACCAAATAAAATTCAACTTTACAATCTTCAGACAATTCTACCGGGATGATTGAAAATTTTCATTGACATCTTTCTGTTTATAACTGCTTTATGAAAGGAAAATCAATAGTAACCCCATCCCCCCACCCCACTAAATGCATATTATTAAAATACAAACAAATGTAAATTTATTTTTATAAGAATCCAATTTCTGTATTTTTCACATGAATATGAAAGTTGCATTAAATCATAACATATGTACAGTAAAAGTTTAACTCAGTAGGATAGATGGATGTTTTTGAAAAGTCCTAACAGGCAGCTTATTGAAATAAAGGACTCTCTTATATTAAAGAATATATGGCCACTGTACTTGCATATAGCATTTTCCTGATTTGCTTGATGCTGTAAAAATACAGAAAAATAAAATAAAATCTTTACTCTCAGGTTAAAAGGGCTATAAGTTTCATTCAACTCTGGGAGATTTAATGGATAGATCAGATTTAACTGAAGTAATTTATCACTGCCTTCTGGTTTAGACTCCAGTCTTCTGATTCAATCACTAACCAGATCTGACTCTGTTGCCCAAGATTTTCTAGGATTGCTGCCTGCATAACAGAACAAATGTAACATTTATTTGACACTGCAGTAGTTAGATATTCATACAGTAAAGTTGTGCCTAAGATTCAGCACCAGACTCCTACATATAAGAGTAAGAAAAATACAGTATGAAGTTCTGTTCAACACCTAGCTAGTTTGAGCTGTTACACATTTCATCCTTTTTTCAGAAAGGGTTGAGTTACTTACAAAGTAATAAACGTAGGATAAAAAGCAAATATATATTTCAAAAAGCATAGTTTTCATTTATTCTTTGGCAGCTTGCAGACAAGCAGAGGTTGGAATCAATCAAAAGAGGTCAATTAGTGTAGGTTGTCCTAGATCTCATATAACTCAGACCCAAATCTCTGTTTTGGAGGAAAAGATAATGTCTATTCCATGCACTGAAGAGCAATGACTAAGCTCTGAATTAATTTGAGGAACAATTGCCCCAATATCAGAATTATGGATATCATTGGAAAAAGTTTAGATAGTTTTAGTTTTATCTTGATAAGGAAGAAATATACTGCTTTTTAAAAATGGAAATATTAGGCACTTGGTTCTCAGATCATTTAAAGGCCTGCTTTTTTCCCATAGTTCTTTGCCATCCTTAAACCTTTTATTTTCTAGTTTGATTCAGATGTTGTGGTCACAAAAGAGAGGGTGAAGGTATTTTTAAATATGAAATACTACTGAGTTCCAAATGCTTCTGTGCTATGAATGTTATGAATTTAAAACCTGACCTACCCTGAGGGTCAGCCAGAACTGGAAAAGTGACACTGAGAAAGTCCGTTGGTTTTAAATTTCAGACTGTGTGACTGAGCCATTTTCATTAATCTACAGCAGAAAAAATACTTCTGTTATTTTTTTAAAAGGCCAGAAGTAGCAAAGTCTGAACTTTTAAAGATATCAGTTAGATTATGAAGTGACATGCTGCACAAAAGTATATTTATCTAAGAGGAAGTCCCAATTCTTAAAGAGACCCAGGGGATGAAATGAAACAATGGAGGTTTTTGAAAATCTGAAAAAAAAAATCTTTATTGGTACCTCTTGAGATGCTGTGTCAATTTTCCATGCAATTCTTCCCTTGTATGTTTAAATAAAATACATTTAGAAAAGACATTTTATTTAACTTCTATATAAATAGGGTGAGGCAGGAAGGGAATGGCAAGATGAAAATGACTGTCATGAAACAGGATAATCCTGCCATTCCTGTCCACAAGTAATAAGGCATGATCGGGAGTTTTGAACTAAACTGAATTGATCTAAATCTGAACTTCTATACATTATACATTACATTATAGCAATAGCATTTAGACTTATATACTGCTTCACAAAGCGGTTTATGGAGTTGGCATATTGCCCCCAACAATCTGGGTTCTCAGAAGGATGGAAGGCTGAGTCAACCTTGAGTCTGGTAAAAATTGAATTTATCAACAGGTTGGCAAAATACGACTTGTGACCCAGAGACTGGATAAACCCATGTGATAGAATTAACAGAATAACAGAATTCTACCATGTTCTATGTAATTCTAATTCTAATTCTAATTCTACCACATTGAAATTGCACTGCATTTCAGTCTTTGCTCAGATCGAAGCTTGCTGGATGCTTTTCACATAGTAGTGCTTAGCCTTAGCAAATGGAATAAATTTCCATATATCAACCCCTGTATGTTTTGCAGGACAGGCAGAATAAAATAAATAAATAGTGGGCGAAAACTGGGATAGAGATTCATGTTTCAAATTATAAGAAAACATAAATCATACATTAAAACTCAAATTCTCCACTTCCCTTTCAAGTCCCTTCCATTAGGTATAGTGAGTTTGGTTGACTTTAGTAGCCACTTTTTACCTCACAAAAAGACCCATTGGTAGTTATTAACTTATTGTTGCTGCTATTATTATTATTACTACTACTGCTGGCTGGATTCAAACCTAGTAATAGAATAGACCAATTAAGAGCAGTGGCACTGAGATTAATAATTAAGTCTCATTGTTTTCCATGGGTCTCTAAGTACGCACGACCCATTGCACTTTTTTTTGAGGTTGATAAGTGACATAAGGCAAAGCTACTTGTGTATCTGTGTACATTTTAGCTCAGGTGCTAACATGGTTACTCTTGGCTTGGACACCAGGTGCTTTAATTGGAAGGAGTGCTATTTATTCTCCAGAGGCAGCATAAAGTTTTGGACCAGCTCTGTCCAAGCAAACCTGTAACCCAAGTTAGCTGAACATTTGTACCTGCAAGCTGTTTTCAACTAATATCATGTACAGAAAGCATGGCATCCCTATACCAAAGAATGTTTGTAGTTTGACCAGTTTGGCTGGAACAGGAATGAGTCGAAAGGAAAATCCTTTAAAATGATTTCTCAACATTTGTGAGAGTCCTATTTCTAGTTTTATCTGTCCTATTTTCCTTGTCAGTGTTCATACTTATTCATTACCTATATAACTACAATTTCTCTATCATGTTTCTGCCTCTTGTTTCTGTTGGAGCTTTGTGTGATTTTAGGTATAATTTCCTTTACCCTGCATGATTCTTCTAGACCAAAATTCTCCAAATTGAACCAGGACCTTTGTGAATGCAAAGCATACAGTACAGGTAGTCTTCAATTTACAACAGTTTGTTTAGTGAATGTTTGAAGATACAACATTGAAAAGAGTGACTTACGGCTGTTTTTCACACTTGCAACCATTGTAGCATCCCTATGGTCATGTGATCAAAATTCAGATGCTTGGCAACTGATTCACATATATGATGGTTGTAAAGTCCCAGGGTCAAGTGATCGTCTTTTGCGACCTTCTGACAAGCAAAGTCAATGGGGAAGCCAGGTTCACTTAACAGCTGCCTTATAACTGTAAAATTGCAGTGATTCCCTGAACAAGTGTGGCAAGAATAGTTGTAAAATGGGTCAAAATTAACATGTCTCACTTAAGAACAGAAATTTTGGACTCAGTTATGGTCGTAAGTTGAGGACTACCTGTAGTTCTTTGCATTGCAATGACTTTTTACCAGGTTAATATGTGATGAGCAGTACACAGATAATTAAGCTAGAAGGCAATCTGGTGAGCAGTATTTCAGTCCTGATAGCAAGAATTACCCATTTATCAAATGTTATTAGGACACTTGAGTGTTGACCCACTATCTGCTATTTA